AAGGGCGAACATGTTTGGTGGACGGGGGATTCGAACCCGCGACCCGCAGATTGCGAGTCGAGCTCCCTAACCACCTGGCCAGTCTTAGATGTAGATTTCAAAAGTTTCAAGCAGGAATGAGTAAATAGAAATAGCTCCCATTAAATTTATCATAAGCTTTTATTTTAATTCATATTAGGCGTAAATAATAAACACAATGTTTTGATTTGGAATTCTGCATCCATAGATGTTTACTTTTAGGAATATTCGTAATGTCAACAAAACTTCGTTCTGCCATACTACAAAACCTACATGTTTTTCAAAAAAAAAAAAAACAATCTGAGCTCAATAATCTATCGTTTTGTTTGCTCATGCTATTTACAATGTAATCTTTTCGCAACTGTCTATGTTGTTGTTTTGGATACAAGTTGTATTAATCCGCATTAAAATGTTTGTGCTCATCTAAAAGTCTTGGCTCTCTGTGTTTATAGCTGAGTATGTGGTCTTATACACTGACATAAGTTCAATTCCATTCAAATGAAACAGTAGTTTTATAATTTTAATCATTTGAATGATGTTTTGGTAGTCTAGCCAGCTAACAAAATTTGTATCAAACTGCGCGGGTTTAAATAAATCCTTATTTCGTGTGGCCTAGGTAGAAAGATAAAAGAAAGGAAGTTAACACGATGGCGTTTTGAAAAATATGGATAAAAATCGCATGAGTTCACTCAGAAGAGGAAAACATCAAATATTTTAGTCATAGAATTTCATATGAGGGTTTTCCTTTCTATTTTGTACAAGGAAATAGTACAAAGGAATTTGGTGTTTGTGCAACGATGTTAGTTTAGCTTGTCTTTAAAACGATGTTAGTTTAGCTTGTCTTGAAAACGATGTTAGTTTAGCTTGTCTTTAAACTAACATCGTTTTCAAGACAAGCTAAACTAACATCGTTTTAAAGACAAGCTAAACTAACATCGTTTTAGCTTGTCTTGAAAACGATGTTAGTTTAGCTTGTCTTGAAAACGATGTTGAGAACAATGTTAAATGAGACGTCCAATCAGGTAACACGATTTGGCTTTCTTGCCAAAAGACAGATTTACATATTAGATATTTAAATGTGTCAAGTATATTAACAGATGAGAAGACAATACTGTAAATTATTCAGATGTTTCATCATGGTCTCATAAAGTTTATAACTAATTTAACAATGTTAGCTTATCCATTCACATTTAATTCACCATTAACTCAAACACTAAACATAGACTGGTACAATAATCTGCTTTGTTTAGTTTCTTAAGACACGGAGTTAATTTGCCATTTATTTTAAACTCGTGTCAGAATGGTGACTGCAGGCATACGGGATTTATAGGCACATTTCCTATATATGTGTTTTTGAGAGTCAATACGTTGTTTTAAAATTTTCTGATTCTTTACTAACATAGATTGTTTTCGTGTTATAGAAATAATTATTAAAAAAGAAATTCCTCCCCAGCAGGTCATGTAAATTATTATTTTTTTTATCAATATACACATATTTACAAAGCGTACAGTTCATTCTCTTCATCTTCTCGTGGATTTCACAGGTATTCAACTTCTAGAAACATTCCAAGTAATATCCTTATAATTATTGCGTTCGTTCTTGAAGAACACCAGAGTTTGGTACAAGAAAAAAGAACTATATGAATTATTTGGTTTGATATCTATAGTTAAAAGTTTGTGGATTTGCTGTATCCTTGAACAAGACACTTTATCCCGGTGGTTACAGTCTATCTAGCTGTATAATGGGTAACAGCGTGTTAACCTGTGATGGGCTGACCCATCCAGGGGGAATACATCACCATTCTCAGTCGTTCGTGCTTTTGTCTGTCATTTAAGCATCGTGTGGGTTTGTTAATTTCGGTGTTTGACAGAAGGTTTGAGCCAAATATTCAACGCATTAGTTTGTGATATTTGTGTAACTTAGGCAACCCATAAAAATCCATAATCTTATATATTTCGTTTTAAGAAAAAAATGTTTAGTACATTCAATAATGTAATTGTTTATTTCTTCTTTAATTTTTCGAATATAAAAACTAGGGCCTTTAGAACTAATATTCTTCAGAATCACCCGAGTCACAGATGTTCAAAACCATTTTATTATTTAAAAGATATTTTTACTTCGGTCACCGAAGGTGGACGGAGGTTATGTTTTGACCCCTGTGTGTGTGTGTGTGTGTATGTGTGTTTGTCAGCAAGATTTCCCGAAAACAACTGAATGGATTTGGACGAAAGTTAGTATACATTTAGACTATGACCTAACTTACAAGTGATTAGTTTTTGGAGGTCAAGATCAAAGAAAGGTCACAGAAGTCCGAAAAAAATCCCTATCTGTTTACATAGAAACCGATTTTTCACACTATTTTTGTCCTTAACCCCGTAAAATATGATTGGATTTTGATGTAATTTGGTATAATTACTTCTTATTTTCCTGCCAAAAATGGTCCGTGTCCCTTGATAACGACGGACATACGGACACATTTTCGTATTTTTTGAGAGCCGAATATGATCAACGCTGCGTGGCGGAGGTATGCTCTCTAGTTTTTTTTTATATATTTATTTTAATTATTTCACAAATTAGATCTAGTTCCAAACGATATTCTGTTGTTTAAATTATGATCTTTGAAGATGAAGTTTGTTATTATATCTATCTATTTATTCTTGAATGACTATCATCCTCAATTACCAAAAAGTACATGGAAAATAATATATAGAAGTCGGGCCGAGAAACGTGATATATTTATTTTAATTATTTCACAAATTAGATCTAGTTCAAAACGATATTCTGTTGTTTAAATTATAATCTTTGAAGATGAAGTTTCTTATTATATCTATCTATTTATTCTTGAATGACTATCATCCTCAATTACCAAAGAGTACATGGAAAACAATATATAGAAGTCGGGCCGAGAAACGTGACGCGAATATACAGTGGAGATTTATGTATGATGCATTAACTAACCCACTATGGTTAAAGCGAATAAATGTGACAGAATCGAAGTATGTCCGTATTGTAATACTATGATATGTAACAATTGGCATATGTATTTTAGGTGTATTGTAATACTATGATAGGTAACAATTGGCATATGTATTTTAGGTGTATTGTAATACTATGATATGTAACAATTGGCATATGTATTTTAGGTGTATTGTAATACTATGATAGGTAACAATTGGCATATGTATTTTAGGTGTATTGTAATACTATGATAGGTAACAATTAGTATATGTATTTTAGGTGTATTGCAAATGAACTTTTATTAAACATGATTTTTAAGATATGTTCAACAATTTTGGGAAGAACATGTGAATCGTATGATTTTTGGTATTTATGCTCTTATAAAAATTGTAATAATTCCCAATTAATTGAAGTATGTAATTTCATCATTATTTTAGGAAAGAGTATTATATACAATTATTGGTGCGAGATATAAAAAAAATCAACACATTTCGTATCCTAAAACAATTAAAGAGAAATTATTACGTAATTTCATTAATAAATTGAAGTCACGGATGACATTAGAAAAAATGTGGGCCTAACAAAATGGTGAATTCGAATTATTTAAAAAAGAATGGTTGGTTTATTATAGATCAAAATATTTCCTCCTTTTCAATAATTTATTAATTTTTTCCTCTCCTGTGTGATATATATATATTTATATTTTTAATAATTAGTGTATAATATACTGTATTAAGTAAATAATAGTTGATGATGTGATTGAAACTTGCAAACAATCTGCTTGAATGTCTTCAAAATTATTTCAACATTTTACAACTATTACTTCTGAGGTTATTTAGTATAGTTAAAGGAAATTGTTATATTAAAATATCATCCATTTAAAATATGTAGTAGTATGTAATAATTATTTATGGATGTTACAGATAAGAGTGATAAATTGGTCATGTAAATAATGTAATGGATGAATATGTTTTTATTTCCTTGTAAAAAACTGGTTGTTTAGTGTCAAACTTGTAAAAACTGGTTTGGTTGTTTTAATAAAAAATTATCTATCTATCTATACCTCTGCAAACATCCTTGTCCGGATCGTTGCTATTACACTCCATTATTTGCCACCCCAACCCATCATTACTAGAAGAAGACCCAGGTGATGCTGTGGTTGGAGTTGAGTCAGCAGAGGGAGTCTGTGTCGTTATTCTGGTAGTGCACTGGAAGTACTCGAACCAACGCGTCTTCCCAGCATCTTTCTTCAGCCGTTTCTCTTTAGCTCTTCGGTTCTGGAACCATACTTGCACTACCCTCATGTCCAGTCCTGTGTCCTGGCTAAGCTGCTCTCGGACATGACGGGCAGGCTTGGAACTCTTCCTATACGCTTTTTTTAACATGTCCAGTTGCTTGGCTGTGATAGTTGTCCTAGGTCTCTTGGTTGTTCCTTCTGAGTTGGAATCGGAAGAAGAAAAAAAATATAAATTATAACAACCTTTTTTGTATATCTTAGCATTGAAAAGCTATTTCAGACTAAACCTAATGAAATGAAGCGCTATCTTAGGATAATCTTTTGAGACATATTTGTCGTAAATGGCATCAAAGAGAATGACACTTTATTCTACAAGCAATTACTGGTTTATTAGCTTAGCTTGTTAATAACCAATTATCCTCATGCTTCTAGAAGAGGTTTAACGAAACTTAGACTTGAACAATCTTGTATTTAAATGAAGTATTCAACAAAATAGGTCTATTATTTAACAGGACGTGGTATAACAAGTTGATTGTTTGTTCTTGACACATACCACGATTTCTTAGAGCTTCATAATCGCTCTTGCAGACCAATCTTTTGTCTTCCATCAGATAAAAGAGGTCACCAGTGTTGAGGCGCTCCTTACAGAGGATACAGGAGAAACAATGAATATGGTAGACGTTCTCCTGGGCTCTTCTGACAATCTGTGAAGGAGAGATCCCTTGGGCACAACCAGCACATTTAGTACCATAACGTCTGTTGAAAACAAGAACATTTTAACAGTAAAACTTAAACATAAAGTCTTACTTTCGTTTCTTTCATTTTGGGGTTTGTAAGGTTGTATGTTAATGGCAAGAAAAAGCATTAAATTTTATGTGTATATTAAAACTAGATCTACTTATTAGTACTTTTTAATCATAATGTCTAGTCTAATTACGTATCTTCCAGTCTTGGTAAAATAACATCATTATTTCAAAATTAATGTTTACTTGTTATTTTTCAGACTATTTAAGGATCATTTCTAAGCCCATCAGTGGCACAACGGCATGTCTGCGGACTTATAACGCTAGAAACCGGGTTTCGATACCCGTGTTGGGCAGAGCACAGATAGCCCATTGTGTAGCTTTGTGCTTAACTTCAAACAAACAAATAATTTCTAAATTGTTTGTTTGTAATTAAGCACAAAGCTACACGATGGGCTATCTATAGAGAAAGAAAATGAGCAAAATAATCTAAATGAAACTTAATACACATTTCTACAGGATATATAGAAAAAAGGGAACAAGGATATGTTTATTACTCAGTTAAAAAAGACAGAAAAAAAGATTGAACAAAATCACCCTTAATTTCGAGTAGGCTTAAAAATCAGGTAATACTGACATGTTAAAATAATTTGGTTTTCGACTGAAAATGTTCGTATTTGCAATTTTACTCAGCTAATGAATCAATGCATTCCGATAATTATAAGTTTAACTTTTATTATGTAAAAAATTGGACAAAAGTGTATTTCAAAATTGGAATGTGTTTACGTGACCACGTAATTAATCTATTCCGGACATACAGAAACGTATAATTATAACTTGGAATAGATTTCTATTAAACATGAAATTTAGTAAAATAAACATATGTGTATAAGTAGCTTTTGACATACTTAGATGTGTTCTTTATTTTCTATATATATATTTCTTCATATAGTGAAGAAAGCAACAAACGAAAAATAAATAATTTCTAAACACATAACCCGAAAAAAAACCTATTTTGTTTATAAAAGTCGAAAAACGATTAAAAACTCCGTCAGGAGCAAATTTTTGTTTGTAATTAAGCACAAAGCTACACAATGGGCTACTTGTGCCCTGCCCACCACGGGTATCGAAACCCGGATTTTAACATTGTAAGTCCGCAGACATACCGCTGTGCCACTGGGGGGTAGGAGCAAATGAAAGTCATTCTTTAGACTTGTTATGATTATCTCGTAGCGTTTGTTTGTTTGCTTGTAATGAAGCACAAAGCTACACAATGGGCTATCATCTCGCAGCGACATAGGGTACTGTTTTATTTAAAAATAACTAATTTTTGTCTAAATCAGAATAGCTTTGTAGCGATCTAGGGTACTGTTTTATTTAAAAATGACTAATTTTTGTCTAAATCCAAATTATTTTGTAGTGAACTAGGGTACTGTTTTAGTTTAAATTGACAAATGTTTGTCTAAATCACAATTACTTTGTAGCGATCTAGGGTACTGTTTTATTTTAAAACGACTTATTTTGTTTAAATCACAATAACTTTGTAGCGATCTAGGGTACTGTTTTATCAAAAATGACGAATTTTTGTGTAAATCACATCTAGTACGTGTATATTATCATTCCAGAATATGCATGTGATAGTTCAAAATCTCAGTAAATGGCTTGTATAAATAAAATCTATCTGTTATTATAATGACACAAATAATTATCTTAGCTTAGTTCATTTCTTAACAACATTACTGTATAATATTTCAGTATTGAAAGCTTGTTTGTGATAATAACGTTCAAACATGTACTACTACTTCTCAGCAGGTATAAATAGATTATTGTGTCTCATTAAGAGCGGTAGTTTGAAACGTTTCCTAGTTCTATTGGTGCCTGGTGTTATGACTAAGTCTGATTAAGAGCGGTAGTTTGAAACGTTTCCTAATTCTATTTGTGCCTGGTGTTATGACTAAGTCTGATTAAGAGCGGTAGTTTGAAACGTTTCCTAATTCTATTGGTG